TGCTGAAAGAGGCATAAACTCTGCTTTTATAGACATCATCACCCGTTTTATGTGCGGCCCCTAAATAAAAAATACATGGTCTAGGCATAATGCTAGATTTCTTCAAGTCATAAATTTTCTTGCTTAATCAGATGCAAAATTCTTACCTACAAATCATGTCATTTTGGTTCTTTTTATACTTCTTGGTGTGCTAAAGGCAGGTTTGCATTTTTTAAAAAAACTTTTCATCCCTGTGAGACATCTTTGTTACGTAACCTTCAAAAATCAGAGATGTGTTCAATGCTAGGAATATGGATTAATTCTGACATTTGCATTTACATTTTCAAAGCTTTACACGACCCTCTGTTACAATTAATCTTTGTACAGCTGTGCTGCTTGTGCATGGGGGTAGGGTTTGATGTGCACTTGGGTGTAGGAGTGTGGGTGGGTGGATGTAAAACAGTCACCTAGGTGAGGCCTAATTAGGTTTTTCAGGTGTTTTTTTTTTCCTGTGTTTTAGACCGATAGTTTCTGAAAAACAACATTATTCACTTTTTTTTTTCTTGTAAAACTGCACTTTCCTATTTATTTTTGACAACAAGGAAATGCAGCTGACGTTTGGTGACAAACACGGTGGTGTTGTTGCTACCACTAGGCTTGCTGAGGCCTTGCTGAGGGTTATGAAAAATTATTAGTATTTCAGAACTGGTGCTTATTCCTTTCTTCCTTCGAATTTAGGTGTTGAAACAGGTCCCTGAATACTCCATTATCAGTGTTCATTGCTCGCTCTGCCTGATTCCTGTCCATTTAGTCTGGAGTCAGACCCACCTCTGCACTGGTGCTGTTTTGCCCTGAGTCCCTTGGTTTTGGCATTTCAGTTACTGGCAATGGGTTTTTGTAGCACTTTATCCTTCAGAAGCAGAGGTGACCATACAAGTGTTGACAGGGACTTCGCAGTGACCTTGGGCATCAATTCTGGAAGAAGGTGCATGCATCATGTTGGCCCTTCAGTAACCTTAAAGAGTATATATATTTTGAAGGTAGTTAAGCTGCTAGCCATTTTGATAAATAAATGAGAGTTTTTCTCCAGTACCTCTATGTGATAGAGGATTTTGAAAGGGTATGGTAAACAATTTTTGCAGCTAGGCCAATAACTCAGGTGAAGAATAAATTGCGTTGCAGTAAAGCATCTTGTCCCAGTAGCAAGATACCAAATGATGGGAAATTCTGGCCCTTCTCTAGTTATGCAGTTGCCAGATACCTTCCTTCCTTACTGAATATTTGTGGTCTCCTTTTTCTGACATGAACTCCCGGCTCTGAGGCCTCAATTTGCTTTTCTCAGATTTAAGAGCCTTCTTATTCCACCTTTTCCCTGCCCAGCTTTTTATGGACCACCAAGTTGTCTTTTAATTTTGCCTTCAGGAAATAAACCACATGTAATTCAACTCCTTTCAGCGTTTGCTCTATTGAGACTATTCATGAAGGATGAACTGGCTCTTAGGAGGACCGTATGGAAGAAGCAGATATCCATGGTGATGGGCACCTATGTAAATACGTAGACCGACAGCTCCGGTAAACGGTCTCTTGCAGAGCCCTGGCAGGTCCATTCATCACGCGACCTGTACAGCAAGTGCTGTCAGACATGCAAGGTAAACAAACAGGGCAAGAAGAGAGGAGAAAAAAATAATGTTTGTGCATAATCCCTTTTTTATTTCAAGAGCCTCTTGGATTTCTTGCGGCTACAGTAAATACACAAGTCTCAGATAATTTTGGAGTGGGCTGTGTGATTTTTAAGAGGTCTGCTGAAAGATATACACCAAATCAGAAGAGTGGCAGGAATAAAATTGTGATTTGCCCAGTATTAGTCCGGCTTAGCAGCCACTAGGTTCCCACTACAGTTTTTCTTTGCCTTAGCCCATCATAATGCAGCATCTCACTGGTGCCACTTGTGGGAGCAGCGTAAAAATGTTGTCCCCTTATTTTCCTGTCAAAAAGGAGAAAACAAGTCTCAGAGAGAAAAAGAGCCCACGACCTTTGCGTTGCTGGCACACTGCCAGGAGCCGAGGGGCCGCTCTCGGTTTACCCGTGAACGTGCGCGGGGTGTTAATTGGGGTTGGCGCTGCGGTGCGCGCTGCCGGGTGCACGGCCCGGGTTCAGCGATTTGTTCACCTCAGGCATAATTACCTTGCTTGCTTCTTTTTAATTAGCAGGCAGCTGGGGAAAACGTCCCACAAAATAGGGCAAGGGAGGGCCTCAAAGCCGTACCAAAGGCCTCCCCTGCGTTCCTCTGTGTCCAGAAACAAGAGTCTGTGCTTCTTCTAACTCTTGGTATCTGATAATATCTGCCTCTGAAGCAAATAAGGTCTTTATTGAACTTGTGGTGGTCTTAGAATTATTATTATAGAATCATGATGGTTGGAAAAGACCTTCAAGATCTTTGAGTCCAACTGCCTTCTGCAGGGATGTTCTCTACCCTTCTTGATACTTCTACTCAGACAAACTAAAGTAGCCCAGGGCCTACGTGGGTTATCCCAGGGAATATCCCAGGCTGTATTGGCCTTTTTAGTTTCATATCATAATGATGGAGAAACCTGTTGCTAAGTAAATGTTCTGAGTTAACACCCCGTTAGGATGAAATTTCAAATTCTTTGAGAGGTGTTATCCACAAGGATGTGGAAGGATTGGTTAAAATTAGGGTAGCTTTTTCTGTCCTTGTGGATACTTTTTTTCTTTCCTTTTTTCTTTTTTTTTTTTTTAATCTAAAGCTTTTTCTATTTAAAGCACAGGCTAATAGTGATGCAGGGAGCACCACTGGGGAAGTTCTTCCCCCTGCACTTCCCAGGGCAGCACAAGGTCTCCACCTGGAAAACCTGGAAGTGCACGAAGGACTTCTGTATTTATCAAGCAGCTATGTCGTGAGAGGTGAAATGTCAAGACATATTGAGAAAAAGGAATGTTTCCGTAGCTGGGATTTTTGATGAAACAGAAGTAATAGGAAGAAGCCAGCGTAGCAGACCCATTGGAAGCTGCTTGTTTTGTGAGTCTTTCCTTCAGAAATGCGTAAATGCAAGATAACTGTTGCCAGGAGTCATAAAAGAAAGGAATGACTCATGAGATATATTTATTAGCAGCTCAATATTGGTGAATCCAGCTTCATAAACAGTGGTTAATCTGCTAGAACGCTCCTTGCCCTCAGTAGCGGGGGAGGGTGAGGAGAACACACTCATTTCAGTTCTTGTTTAAAGATCTAAAATAACTTTTGCCTTCCGAATAAATCAACATCTCCAGGAGCACCATTATTCATCTTTTTGCCTGTTCCTTGCTGGCGTGGACTTATTTATTTATTTCCATGGGATGTCATTTATTATGGCCTCTTCTGGACTCTCATCATCCCTGGGATGTAATTTCTTTGCTGGATTGTAGGCATTTTCATCACAGTTCACTACATATTTCACCCATGTTGCTACAGAAAGCCGTTATGTAGCACAGCCTGCTGACAAGGATATTTAGCCCTCCCTCTGCCCTTGTCCTGCAGTGCTGCTCCCCTTCGCTAGGCAAACGCTATATATGATCTCCTAAACTGAGGTGACTAAAAGTCACCCTGTGTGGCCCATGCAGTCCACGGAAGTGTCCATGGAAAGAAACATCCTCAGAGAGGTCTCCAAGACAGATCAGATGAATCATCCCGCGGGTGCCTGTTCCTCACTGGTCGTTCAGGATTGGATCAGTTTGTACTGAGACAGTTCACATCATGAGGAATTGATGCATTGTTCCAAGTAGTTGTAAGCACATCTGAACTTAAATTCACCTTTCTAATGTTACCATCTTGCACTGTGGCTTCTTTACTAATTTCTCACTCTTAACAGGACTTGCTTGTCTGCAAACTGTCACTTTTAGGCTATTTCAAGCTTGAGATGCATTATTTAATGTGTTATCAAGATTTAATGCTGGATTTGGGGAGGAAAACACTCTTGGCATATGTGTCCCAGAAGTTACGGGGAGGTGATTTTGGGAATTTTGGTGTTGATGTGACCTGTCTGTGTTGTTCCAGGTGCATTTGATTCTCTCTATTTGCCATCCATGCCCAAGTCAGAGAAGGTTTTGACAGTGCAAATATGAACAGGTCTCTGTGCCAGCAGGTGCTGTTGATACAAGGGCTTTTGCTAAAGCCTCTGCGGTTTCGGTGCTCATTTCAGGAGGAGGATGGATTTCTACCTCACTTCGGGCAGAAATGAAGGCGGGTGGAGATCTGTCATGGAAGGAGACGTGCAGGCAGGTAGCTCCACAGCCTAACGGGGCCTTTGCACCAGCTCTGTGCAAACACTTTTGCTCTCTCATTTCCCAGGACTAGGTAGGAAACCAGTGGATACTTTTTTTGTACCAGTAGATAGGGTGGGAAAACGTTTCCTTCCTCCATGGCAGAAGAGGGTAGACTGCCTCCCTAAGAAATGCTGCTGTGTGAGTTTTTGATTGTTTGTTTTCCAAGATTTAGGCAAGTTATCTCTATTAAATTTAACATTTATTTTGCAAACTTGAATAAGTTTATTTTAAACTGTCCCCTCATTTTGGAGTGGTTTTGTTTTTGTTTTGTTCTTCTATAGTAAGGGCTGTTTTAAAAGTGTAAACATCTTTCCTTGTACAATTCCTTGTCAATGGTGATATCTCTTTCCTCCAAGGCTTATCCAAGTTAGCATCACTAGCAGAAAACACAGGTATTTCTTCTCTGTCAGATGTAGTCCCAGCAGAGAATAGGTTGTGAATGTCAGGACACTTATGAAGATCCATCTTCTTTTCCACCAGAATTTCTTGGGACAAATAATTAAGAAGTTGAGCAGAATTTAGGGAATAATTACTGAGCTCAAGTTGCTATTTTTGTTACATACATACATACATATATATCTTTTTATCAGGTTGGAGTAACTAATAACTCTGAATGTATTTCTGCAATGTCCCCAGTCAAATCGTAGGTGATTTTTCATTGTTCCTTGTTCTGAGATATTCTGCTTGCTGTTCTTCTGCAGGAGTTATCTACACGGCAGATATTCTTGACCGGGAGACAACCAGATCCTACTGGCTGACAGTGTATGCGACGGACCACGGCGTCGTCCCGCTCTACGCTACCATCGAAGTCTACATTGAAGTGGAGGACGTGAATGACAACGCACCTCTGACCTCTGAACCTATCTATTACCCAACAGTCATGGAGAACTCCCCGAAGGATGTATCTGTCATCCAGATCCAAGCGCAGGATCCTGACTCCAGCACAAATGACAAGCTGACTTACCGGATTACAAGCGGAAATCCTCAGAATTTCTTCGTAATCAACTCCAAAACAGGTAAAGCAAATCCCACCATTTTACAGCAATAGGCAAGTGCAACTTAAATGTTTACCAGCTTGCTCCCTTTCAGGATCCTCTGACACTGTATCGCTTTGCAAACATCATTTTTCTATTAGTTATGAGTTTAAAGCATCTTCCCCATAAACGCAGTCCTAAATGAGTGCGTTGGCAGAGGAAGATACTTCCCTTGTGCTGTTATGGATCGTTTCTCTGTAGATCACAGACTGGTTCCTGGCTGCTGCCTCTCTGCTGTGCCCGCAGGGATGAGACTTTGCTGTTCTGAACATGCAGAGCACTGCTAGGAAGTAGATTCAAGCTGTTGTAGTTTGTAATCCTTTGTAATTTGGTGTCGCACCACTCAGTGAGTGGCACTACAGCTGTCAAGCACATATCGTTTGGCTCTGAATAACAGTAACTGGGTGTAATTCTGAAGTTCTTTTATATGAAAAGACAGTTTAGATGATCTAATAGTCCCTCCAGCCTTTAAAAAAATCAATGAATTTACATTGATTGCTAACAGCTGGAGATCTAGCCTGTGTGTGCAGTGTTACAGACAGGCTTCTGCACGCCTGGTGTTGAAATTATGCTCAAGTCTCTTAGGAGCCAGTCTGGGAGCAGGTCCAGGGGAGCAGAGCGGTGCAGACTGACTCCAGGGGATCTCTGTGCACTTAATGCCTTTGCTGAGTTAGGAGCTGTGGGTGCCACTGTTCTGGGGGACAGACAAAGAAGTTTAAACCCAATGTCATGGATACTGTGCTGCAGGCAGTCCTCCCACCAGCATTTGCCTGGCGTTTACCTTGTCTGTTGTCTGCCTGCTACACCTCCTCACCTTGATGGGGACCATAATGAGTCAGTGAACTGTTTCATAGAAATAGGCTGATATTTGTCAAAATACTTCAGAGGATTCATGATCTTGTCGTGCTTGTTGTAATGGGAGATTTTGGGCTTTATTCCAGGACTTTTAGAAAGAAGTTTGCTGGCAGTTTCTACAAACCCAAATAGTGTGTTGGTGGAGGATGCTCCTTTTTTTGTTGTTGTTATTAGGTATTTATTTATTTATTTATTTATTATATCTGATGAAAATTTGAAAACCCAAGAATGTTTTTATTTGGGGTAGGTAAGAGATACTCAGTAAATAGCTTTTCAACATTTGGCTGGGCACTCTCATCGCAGTATGTGACATTGAACGGGATGGGGATCTTTACAGCCATACACCCAGGTGAAGGAATCGCTGAGCATGTGTAATCACTCTGTTCAATCTGCCAAGCCCTGAGGCACAAATCTCACTTATTTTTAACACTTGGAATGGCCGAAGATGGCTCTCCCATCTGCATCCCTTTCCTCCTCCACCCCGGCCCGCTGATCCCATCTGGGCAAACGAGCAGAGCTGGGGCTCTGCGTCGTGTCTCGGGGCTCTGCGACGCGTCGTGCTTCGCGCCAACCCCCCCCCCCCCAGCCGCTCTCGCTGCAGCCCGCTCGGCCGAACGGCTCCCGTCCCCACGGCGGTTTCAGGCGGTGACAAGCGCTCGAGGCCGGCACGCCGCAGTCCCCACGGCCCGTGTGCTGTGTGCAGAGCAGGGGGCAGCCTCAGTTTGCCGGGGCGCCTCGTGTCGACGGGGGAGCAGGGGCTCCGGGGGCACTTCATCACTCCGCAGCGGAGGAGGAGAATACTTTTCCCTAAGAAGGAGATCTTCATTCTCTTCCATTGCCATTAACTCTGTGGATTGTTCATCTTCATTTTACCCTGAGAAAATTGCTGCCTGAGAACTTAACTTAAAGGCTTTGCACTGATTCGCATTACTATTTTGGCAACCCCTGAAGGGCCCCCATTGCATTAGTTGAACCTACTGGCTGGTGACCGACTGTGATTTGTCATGTGTGTGGGGGATAAATCATCTCCCTCTATCCAACTCATTTAGCTGTGAAATGCAACACATCGAAAGCTGGGAAGGTCATCGCTGCCTTTTTTTTTTTTCCTTTTTCTTTCTTTTTTTTTTTCCCCTCTTTGAGCATGATCAGGCTGCTTGTGCGTGCCATGAGGCGCCTTGTTCCGAGAAGGGAGGTTTATCCTTTCGAATGCACATGGTTTCATCCTCCCTTGTAAAGTACTGAAGTGCCGTGAGCTCTGCCTGTGCTGCACGCAGTGTCAGCATCAGGAGGCTTTCTCCTGGCATCCCAGGCACAAAATCGTAGCACATTTGCACTAGGGAGGGACCCTGTGGTATCTGGCCAGGCTACTTCTAATCATGTCTGTGTGTCACATTGGTTTCTATAATGGTTTACACCAGGGTTGTTTTATACAGGCTGCTCCTGCACACGCAGAAGAGATTTGCAGCGTGCCAGCCCCGTGTTCTTGCTGAGATTTAGCAAAGCTGTAATTCATGGAGCGCTTTGCACGGCAGCCTTAGATGCTGAAGTGTGCTGTGTAATCAAGATTAAAAGGTTTAATGTGAACCCAAATATGTAGTGATTGCAGTGTAGGTGGGTTGAGTGAGTGTGCTGCTGCCTTGGAGTGAGGAAAGTTATTTCTGAGAAGAGGATCTTTTATCTTCTGCGTCAGCCTGAAAATTTAAACAATGCCAACAAACTGACATCTTCCCCTTGTGACTAATCAGGTGTTGAGAGGCAACATGAAAGCGGCAGCGGCATCCCACATTTTTTACATCCTTTCATGGTAAGCATCAGAAATTGGCCTTAAATAGAAATGGGAAATTGGCTGGGTGCTCTTGTGGTAATGAGAAATTTCTCAGATGCCTGACTGCTTCGGCTTTGCTCATGTGCCTGTGGTTAAATCTCTTGCTAGATTTGTGCTCAGAAATGAATATCCCCCAAGTTCAAATCATTACTGGTCTCAGACAGAGAGGCACGAGGGAGGAGTTTGCTGTTCTCTACAGTGTAAAGAAGCGTGGATAGTGGATCAAAGAGCACTGCCTTAGATCATCTGGAGATATTTGAGCAACATCTCCCACCACATCTGGGAATAAAGCATTGCTAGTCCTGGCCTCTGGTGTCCTGTTGCTGCCTCCAGAGCTTGGTGCTTTACCTCGACAAAGTTTGGTTTGGTGTAAAGTGCAAACAGAGCAAGGCATAGCTTGTTTTATGGCATGTGTCAGGTGGGTGAGTGTTAGTTCAGGTGTCTGCACAACATGGCTATCTGCAGCAGAGATGAGCAGGGTAGACTGAACTAGGCAGACCAAACGAGGGGGATGATCCTACTTCGTTTGAGACAGTTCTTGCTGCCATTAGGAGGAATCCTCTGGATTTTCCTGCACCGGGTTGTGGGGTGTCCTGTCCCCACTGTGGTGTATTCAAAGGTGTAGGCACTAAGGGAATAATACAGCACATGAGTATGGGTCAAACCGTACATCACCCATGCAAAAGAGCAAGGCAGCCTCGTTCTTCACAGTGTCCGCCCTAAAGGCAGCGGGTCCGATAGAGCCGCGCAGGTTGCATTGGGTTTCTCCGGGCAAGGCAGCCTCGGGCTTCGTGTTGCGGACACCTCGTGCCCGGGGTGGGAGGAGGTTCCGGCTGACGGCGCCTTTAGGAGTCCAACTGCCTGCCTGGCAGTGCCTGCGTTTCGGGGGCTTGGCCTGCACCCTGCCTGGGGTTGGAGCACATCTGGCATGTCTCACGTGGCTTTTGTAAAAGGAGGCCATTGCTGGGTGGGTTTACATTTTTAAACATTTCTAAACGCATGACTGTAGGACAGATACCCTGCTTAACCTGAACCGAGCCACTGAGAATCTCTAATGGATAAATAACCTTTTAAAATAACAAATCTTGGACTCTTAAACCCTTTAGATGCCCGAAAGAATACCAGGATCTTCCTACTCCTCCAGTTATACTCTGTGACATGCGGGTTTTCTCTCTTACCTTGACACTTGTGCGAAGTGGGAGGGCTCAGTCCCGCTTTCACACTGCCAGATAACAGCAGGTTTTACTGCTGTGGTTAAATAAATGGCGTTAGCTGATGAGGAGAGGTCAGCAGTGCACTGGTGGCTGGACAAGAGCAGGACGGAGCAGGTCGTGGTGCAGCCGGAGCAGCGGGGCCGGAGCGCGCCTGGGATCACTGCAGCGGCACCGCGGAGCCCGGAACGGGTGCTTGGGGCGAGACGGTTGTGGAGGGAGGTAAATAAAACAGATGATGGAGTAATAAAAAAATGATTGATTAGGGCCATAAATCCTTATTTTGATTTCATGCGTGCAGGTGTTAATTTCACAGCACAGCATAGTGGTAATTTACTGCACGGATTTATTAGTTTTCTGTCCTCTGAAGAAAACAATGAATTTTAATTCAAACCATTACATTATTTTTTAGTGTTCCACATATACTGAACAACCCCAGTAAGCTTCTCTTCAGTCTTACGTAGATTATATTAAGAGATATTTTAACCAACATGCCAGCAGAACAAATTTAACTCTCATTCACTGCAATTCTGTTGAAGCTAATGAAACTACTGTAGGTTTATGGCTGTGTGTATGAGAAGTTTGGTCACACCTTGCTTAGTTTCTTGCCAGCACCAATTACTGTTTTAGCAAAGAGAGACCCCAGGCACTCCCAAGTTACGGTTTGCCTCTGTTTTGAAGCAAGATGCACTAGTGCCTTTAGAAACTTTATATCTAGGTCAGAACAGCTTTTCAGGGCAGTGATTCCTTCCTGCTGGGTCTCTGAACTGTTGCAAGCTGCACCTAGATGTGGAAAGAGACTAGATATTTTCTTGCTGAAATAAGTATGTATAGAAGGTAATGTGGGACTAATAAGGGTCATGAATTGGTAGATGTGAGCACTAAGGAAGGAGCTTCCTCTAAGCATGCTTTGTTTTTCTTTCTTTTACACTTGGTGAAACATCAGCTATATGATCCCACTAGGATGCAATAGCAGCCTGGCCGTGCCAGTTTAAAAGAATATTTCCTTTCCCTGCTGTGCAGCCCCGTTTTTACGGATGTTTTTGTCTTCTGCTTCTCAAGGAATCTCTGCACATGTTCTCTGTCCCCAC